TGCGCACGAGTGTATCTTCTGGGCTTATGGGGGTCCAGTTAGGTGTAGTTAGCTTATAGATTACTTTAGTTAGTTCTTTGTACACTCGTGTGCATTCCCTTGTTAGTTAGATTTTAGTTCTTGACTTCGGTTTGTGTTATTCCTTCTTTTCATATTGCCTTTACTTTTCAAGTTCAGTCGGCCTATGATGCCTACTGGGTACCTGTTGTTTTGGTACTCATGCTACGCTCTGCATCTATTTCGTGATTCAGGTCCGGGCACTAGTAGCCAGCGTTGATCGAGCTTGGAGCAGACTGATCCGGAGACGGGAGTGAGCACACGACGTTTTGTACTATTTCAGTCTCCATCTGTATATATAGACTTGTCTTTTACCTTTCGAGACAGTCCAGTCTTTGTTGTCCACTTTTTGGACTTGTACTCATTTTGTTAGTAGCTCTGTACTAGTGACTTCCAGGTTCTGGGAGGGATCTTTATTTGTATATATGTTTTGGTTTGCTTCTGCCTGTCTATATTGTTATTTGCCTACTCTTGTTTAGTTTCTACCCTCAGACCCATTACTTGTTGTTCCGAGTTACGGGTTGGCTTACCTACTGGTGGGTTATAGTAGGTGCCATCATGACTTGAGAAATTGGGTCGTGACAATGACCAAGACGGCAGCGACAAAGTTGAGGCTGAGTTACAGTCCAAGTAACGCCCAACTCTGGACGGTCAATGCACCACCGACTCCCGTGTGTGGAGTCACACATGGAGTAAGAATCACGCTAGGCAAGTGGCAAGGTAAGAACAACTTCATTGTCACTCCTTTAGACCTCTTCGATATCATTCTAGGGCAGGAGTTCTTCTAAGAGTGCCACGCGGTGATAGACCCTTACCTCCAACGACTTCTAGACATGGAGCAAAGAGGATCATGTATGGTGCCCCTGGTTAAGGTACCGAAGACGGAAGAACAAGTCTGTCTAACAGCCATGCAGCTCATAAGAGGCCCTAAAAAAAAGGAGTCAGCGTTTATAGACACCATTGCAAGTTTGAAAGAAGACAATGGTGCAAAAAGGCCCTTCCCACCCTGCATGAAGAAGGTTCTAGAAGGGAACAACGTCGTGATGTCGAAGAAGCCGCCAAGGCGTGTGCCTCACAAGAAGGAGGTAGATCATAAGACCGAGCTGAAAGAGATCAGAAAGAAACTGAAGGAGTTACGGGAGGGCATTGATCGAGCCAATGGACTATTGGTCACGCGTATGAGAAAACGAGACTCAGTTGATGATGCAACGACGATGCGACACGACGGTGGGGGAGAGTGTCACGTCCCGCCACTTCACAGTTCAAATTTGACACCGGAATAAGGGGGAAGAATCTAGATTTGTGGGGAGATTAGTAGAACACTCTAGAATCCCCTAGAGAATTTCCAAGAAGACTCTAAAATAACTTAAAAGCTTTCTTGGAAAGCTTTAGAATTTTCTAGAATTAGTAGACAATTCTAGAACATGGACCAAAGTGTAAATAAGTAGGGACTTCTAAAGTAAATAATTATTTACTCTTAGGCCCCTAGAAAGTAGTATAAATAGAAGGACCTCTCATTTGTAAATCATCCAAACAACTTGTAAGCAATCTTCCAAGCTTAATACAAAGCCTTATTCCAAACTTTCCAAATCTTTCTAAGTCTTTCTTTGCATTCTCTTAGCGGTCTAGCTTCAAAGGGCTTACTTGAGCTTACAAGATCATGAAAGATTCGTGAGTAAGTTGTCAAGTGACGCACAAAATATTAGCGAAAACTCTAAGTCTGTGACAAAAGGCTCTTATATAGTCACTAGAACATGTAGTAATCACTGGAACAAGATTTATGTGTCTAACATTTCTCATGACTTCACATTCGGTATCAAACCTCTTGCATACTTGCTCATTTTACAAATCCAAAACCCATATGGCCACTACAGTTCCACTAGATATAATGCCTTTGTACACAGAGCCAGAGCTTCCCTCACCAAATAAATTTGATTCATCATCAAAATTATTTGTTGCTCGCTGAATCTCGTGATAAGAAACTAATTGATGAGTTTTGATCTCTGGTACCTATTCAACATCTTTGGACTTTCCTTTCTTGTGTCGTTTCATTATCCAAATTGAAAACAACATAAATATTAGAAAGGATGATATAACCACTTGAGTAACAATTTTTAGCAGAACCTCCTTAAGCCTTGATTGTTTTCCAGGATTAGTGCTAGCACAAGCAGGAATGTCCAACCACTTAGTATTACACCACCACTTGGTATTACACCTTCAAAATCATTAAATGAAACATTAATGCTTTTAAGGTATGAGAGCTTTTCCATATACTTGGGAATAGTACCTGACAATGCATTTAAAGACAAATCCAAGTCATTCTAAGCTTATCAAGTTGGCAAAGGATAATGGAATTTGGCCAAAAAATGAATTGTTCGATAAGTCAAAATACTGCACGTTTTGGAGTTCCCCCAATCTAGTTGGTATCATTCCTGAAAAGTGGTTACTGGAAAGATCTAGAGCTACAATGGCTTTCAGTCCTCCAATATCTAATGGAACTTCTCCCTCAATTGAATTTCGTGACACACTTAGAGAGAGAAGACCACTCATTTTCCAAAGATTCAATGGAAACGTTGATGAAAATTTATTAGAACCCAAATAAAGATGTTGTAGCATGCTAAGATTTCCTATACATTCTGGGATCACTCCAGTGAGCTCATTACCTTCCAGAATTAATAGATCCAAATTAGATAAATGACATACCGCCTCTGGAATATGTCCGTTCAATTGATTGTTATCTAGATACAGCCCTTGGAGTTGTTTAACCATACCAAACTCAGGAGGAATATTTCCTGTCAAGTTGTTTTCGTCAAAAATTAGGGTTGTAAGTCCACTCATGTTGCCTATACTTGTGGGGATGAGCCCATTGATGTGTGCATCTTCTATATGAAAGATTTCAAAAGTAGATGAAAGATTCCCAATAAAATTGGGCAGAACGTTATTCAACGGATTGGAACTCACTGATAGATATCGCAACATCCTACCGTCCGCCAAAGAATTTAAGAATCGCAACTCATGCCCTCGTGGTTCATTGGTAAGTTGATTATTATCTAGGAGTAGTGATCGCAGTTCACGAAGATTTCCCAAATTAGTAGGAATAGTTCTTGTGAGGAAGTTCTTACTTAGCTCCAGTATCTCAAGTTTGGAAGCATTTGTTATGTACAATGGAATTTCCCCTTCCAACTGATTACCTCCCAAGATAAGATCCTTAATGTTTGGAAGATGAAGACCTATAGTGGTTGGAATTCTCCCCCAGAGATTGTTGAAACTGAAATCAATTATTTCCAAAGAAGATATGTTGAAAATAGCCTCTGGAATTTGACCAATAAGATAATAATTTTGGTCAAAGCCTAATTGCATCAAATTTGATAGCTTCCCTAATTTCGAAAGAATTTTCCCCACTATGCGATTGTTTCCACAGTAAAGATTACGCAGAGTGGAAATATTTCCCAATGAAATGGGAATAGTCCCATTTATCGGATTATTGCCAATATAAAACTCCTCTAGTTTGAATAAACAACCAATATTCCTGGGTATGTCTCCAGTTATGTTGTTGAAAGATATGGTCACAATTTTGAGCTCTGTGAGTTGGCATATGTTGGAAGGAATGCAACCAGAAATTTGGTTCTCATATATACTTAAAAATTTGAGATTTGAGACAATATTTCCTTCATAAAGCAAGAGAGGACCGGAAAGGCTATTGATTCCAAGAGATAGGACAAGAAGTGACGAAATATTAAACAATGTTGCGGGAATGAAACCTGTTAATTGATTGTTGTACAAATACAACTCTGTAAGTTGGCTAAGATAACCGATCTCTGTTGGAATGTTACCATTGATTCTATTCCCAGACAAATCGAAGTTCATCAATTTTGTGGCATTCCCAACATAAGGAGGGATTATACCCGTGAGACTATTGTTCCTGAGATTTAAGACACTCAGTTTGGGTACATACCATGGCCCTCTCCACATTTCACCACTGAGTTCATTGAAAGCCAACAAAATTGCTTGAACTCCTTGGTGTTGAAATAGACTTGATGGTATACTTCCGTTGAGATGATTGTTTTGAATATCAATGACTCGCAAGCGAGGCAAGTGGCCAAGTCCATAAGGGATGCCACCTTGGAAGTTGTTGTTCTTGAGATTGAGAACACTAAGGAAGGATAAATTAGCCAACGATGGGGAAATTGTGCCTTGAAGTTGCAAATTAGGAAGAGACAAGGCCACAACCCTTTGCCTTTTTGGACTGCAAGTGACACCAAACCAAGGGCAAAAAGTAGTTTTTTTTATCCAATTATTGGCCAAAAAATGAGTGGGACTTGTAACAAGATTTTGGAAAGCTAGTAGAGCTTGTTGATCAGTCTCATTTGAGGAAGAAAATGATACAGAAAATTGAATTAGAAAGAGAAGCATCAATAAGAGAATGTTCTTTTTCATGCTGTTACTCTATATATGCACTTGGAACCAAACTGAAAATTCTCAACAAAGCAATTGATATGTTGCCCAAGCCTTCACAGCACTCAGTGTAATCCCACAAATGTACAAAGTCTTCCCCTACCTTGGAAGGTCGATATTGATATTTTACCCCCAAAATATTCCAATAATCACTAGAAATATTTTTTAAAGACAAAAACACAAGAAGACAGGTGAGAGTCTGTTGAGGAATACATTGGCCAAAGTGATTAAAGAAAAGTCAGTCAATTACTTGCATTATTAAGAAATAAATATAAAAACATATACAATATGGATATATATTATATGGTCCAGAACCCCAAGTCAATGGGAATCCACACAGTTCAAGATAAGTTTAGAAAAAACATGTTGCCCAACCTTTATTTTAAACTTAGGAATATAGCACGAGCCTCACACTTGTGGAAAACTGATAATAAAATACTGAAAAAATGAGGGATTGATTGCATATTAGATTTTGAGTTTAAGGGTTTATTTGGTAATGTGAGATAAAACCATGATATAAAATTATAGGGAAAAGGCTCAAATATGCATATGTAAATTATGATTCGACCACGTCATTATGGTTCGGTCGCATCATTGTTAACTAAAAATAGTTTCCGTTCTGCAAAATCTTTTTTTACATGTGGTCAATTATGATTTGGCCATGTCATTAATTAAATCATTTTCTTAAAGGGAAAAGGTTTGAATATGCCATCGAACTTTGAGAAAAAGCTCATCTATGCCATCCGTTAAAAGATTGGTTCATTTATGTCATTTCAGTTAACAAATAATGACATGGATGAGCCTTTTGTCATACAGAAATGGCATAGATGAGTCAAACTTTAAATGGATGACATAGATGAGCATTTTGTCAAAGTTCGATGACATATTTGAGCCTTTTCCCAAAATTATATCAGATGAGGTTGAAGTTTTAAGTTGTATTTTTTGCTCATAAACATAAAAATCTCATGAGTTGTGAAAACCATCAAAATTGCTCCACTTCTTTACAATCTAACTAGATAAGCAAAAGCTCATAACAAAAGTATAATACTATCAAAAAGTTATTCCAAATAAAATACAACATTCATTGATCGAACTTTAGTTCAATAAAAAGGTAAAATCGAATAAGTTATTGTATACTACTCTTTATATAATCCTCCCAACAAAAATAATATTTTTTAAAAAGAATTACTGAATAATGAGACATGACGAAGATAGCTTTGTATAATTTATGTTGGTTAGAGTAATGGTTACATCCTATATAAATAGTTTAAATAATTAAGTTAATGAGGTCCTTCGAAAAGCAAATGTTACTCATATTATTAATTATGAAAAGAGAAAATCAAAGAGAGTAGATTTTTTTATACGTGGTGCAATGTATGCAAGAGCGCCCAATGTCTCAGTATAAGCCATGGACTTGCTTTTTAGAGATTCAAAAATCACCAACATGAACCATCATATCATCATCCAAAAGAACGCTTACTGACTTTAGGTCACAATGAACTATCGGAGTGTTGCTCTCAATTTTCTTTATATTGCTAAGCGCCAAGTCAATAAGAGTCAATCTTTCAAATCAACCTTATAAGGCTGTGTTACACGAAAGAGAGTAAATTATGCAACTATGACCAATTTCTACATAATGCCATAGTCGATGAGTAGAAGTTACACCCACTTTCCTTAATCAGTGGGGAGGGGAGTTTTAATTAGCAGGGGCCAGGGCGCAATCCCATGGACCAAGCCCTATGGATCTTTAATTTTTTGGAAAAGGGCATATATCTCAATTTTTTAAATTTAGAGCTGGTATACTATTTGTTAGGAAAGTAACTATGTAATGATCCGGTTGGCCATTTTTAGAAAATTTCATGAAATTACCAATTTATCCCTTATTGACCTAGAGTTTTTTCTGATTGAATTTAGAAAGTTGGTTTCAAACTTTGAGTAAGCAGTTGAGAATTTCTAAGTTTTTGATTTTGAAAGGCTAAAGTTGTTAAAACGTAGTTTTTGGTGTCTTTTGGAGCTTCAAGTATCTGAATAGAATTCTATCGATTCCATGAGTTCCTACATGTGGAATTTGGTCTAAGGGAGTTGTCGGTTTCAGATTCAAAGTCGTTTTGAAGATTGAGGTTCTAAGTTGGAAAATTAGGAAAAAGGTAGAAGTACCTCCCTAGTCTATGACCCAAATCCCAGAGACACGCCTTAACTAAACTAAGGTCCTATTACCCCCCCCCCCCGAACTCATTTTTTTGTAATTTTGTACACTTTTTTGGCTTACGTGGCATCCAACTATCTCCCATGTGCCTCAACTGTGTGGAGTCACGGAGTGTGCCACATAAGCCAAAAGGTGTACAATATTATATATAAAATGAGTTCATTGTGGTAATAGGACCTTATTTAGTTAAGGTGTGTCTCTGTGATTTCGGTCATAGACTTAGGGGGGTACTTGTGCCTTCTCCCTGGAAAATTATAAAATTTTAGCCTTTGGGTTGACTTTGATCAACATTCGGGGTTCAGATGTTCGGATCGGAGTTCCGTTGGATTCGTTGGATGATTTTAGACCTAAGTGAGGTCTTGGTTGAATTTTCAGAGGTCCCGAGCTTCATTTGGCCTTTTTAGGCGTTATCTTAGTTTCTTGTGACTTTCACGGATGTCGGTCAAAGAGACCTCAGATTCATGTTTTGATGGTTCCATTAAGGCTGGAATGTCGAGTATTGTCAATTTGGTTATATAATTTGTGCATATGGAATTCCGAAAAAATCATGAGAGTCCATTCGATAATTTTTTGTGTTGGAGGTTTTCTGGTACCTGGTATGCCTCGCGATTGCGAGAGGTTGATCGTTTTTGTGAACCTCACTTTTGCGAGAAACATGTCATTTTTGCGAAGGTCCAGGTGGCCTGACCTTCGTAATCACGAAGGGCCTATTTACGATCGCGACTTTGCGAAAGCGAAGGTCGGATTATATCTAGGGTTCGGTTTTGTGAACCAGAGTTTGCTTTTGCGACATCAAAAAGGGTTTTAGACTTGTCATTTTTGGGGTTTTAGCCATTTTCCCCATTTTAAGCCTTGTAGCAATTTGGAAGAGATTTCCTGTGCTAAATCATTTGGGTAAGATTTTGTGACCCTAAAACTTCAATTCTCTTTGAACAATTATGGATTAAAACATCAAAACTTGAGATTTTGATTGTCAAATGACAAGGTTTTTCAAGAACTTGAGTTCTACACTAAATTGGTGATTGTGAACTGATTTTAAGTCCTTTTTCGAAATGGTTTTCACCAATGAGTTCCAAATGTCTTGGGTAGGACATTCAAGTAATGATTTTCGAATTCAAACCACATTTTCGGAATTGGATTTTTGAGTGATTGACCCTTTTTTCAAAGTGTTTGATATGAGTATTATTATTTCCGAAATCTTATTTTGATTACTTGATTGAAATATATGATATGGTTTTGGACTTTGTTCCGAATGGAAGACTCAAGTGTTAGATTGACTATTGGATAGAATTGAGGCCAGTGATCTCCTAAACCTTGTAAATGTCACGACCCGGGAGCACCCCCTAGTCGTAACCGGCGTACTCGACCTCGAAGAGGTCTAATACAAGCCTCTTAGCATTCATTCATCGCATAGACACTAAAACCATAAGGAATTTAAAACTTTCTTTACCAAGAAAACATTGCATAAAAAAAAAAAATAGCAAGCGGAAGACTTTCTAGACTTTATACATGATGTCTCAAAACCATCTAATACTTTAGAGTACAAAATTCGGGACTAATCCCGTACACAACTCAAACAATACAA